AAAGGTTATTGATTTATTACACTTACATATTACGCTTTTATAATTATTAGTTGTAAAATGGTCACCAGGCAATATTATCGCTTATTGCACTAATTTTTGAGACAATTAATCGCCCAGCAAAATTTGTTATCGTGACAGGCTTATGTGTGAGGTAGTCTCCAAACAGACAATCGGTTGAAGTTTTCACATTTCTCACGTGAGCTGCAGAGGCTTTTCACATTCATTTTGAACATGCTTAGTGATGTTTTCCAGTTCATTAAAGAGGAACTTACCCCAAAATCAGCTTTTTTGCAGATAAATTGTCTGAACTGTGCCCTAAGGGTTTCTATTTACGACTAAAATTCAACGTTTTGGGCTAAAATTGTTTAAATCTACAATATTGTGTCTAAAGACGTCTTTGTGTACCACAAAGAGGAGTTAATTCAGTTTGTTTTATGTCTGATGCCTCGCGCTACAGGAGAACCAGAGGCTCAGTTAAAACAGAGCCTCTGAAGCGGAGGGGTTTTTCACATCAGGCCGCCCAGCCACCTCTGCTGCCCAGGGTGGATTGATGCTTCTGTCCGGGGTGGATTGACCGGGGTGGACCAAAGTCATATTTTAACACTTTGTTTATGCTGTAACAGCTAAATATGAGTTTGCATTTATATCATGAACTTTACTTTTTACAGTCATTTATTTAGAACATTCAGAAATGTTTTCAGGAATGTTAGCTTGTCAAAGTAAGCTAAAGCTAGCTATAGTTTGCTCATCTTAAAAAAAACTTTCTCTTCCTGGCCACACCTCCTCGCTCACCCCTCTCACTTTAGGCCATGCCCCTCAGTCTCCCGGCATTGCCCACAGTGTAGGCATTTTTCAAACTTGCCTTGGGGTGGAATTATGTTTTCACGGGGGGCGGGGGTCAGCTCCACTATAAGTCATAAATGTGGGGGGCCAGGTTCCAAGGTGTGTGCAAAGTAGGGGTGTCCCGATCCGATATCAATATCGGATATCGGTCCGATATCAGCCAAAAAACGAGTATCGGATTTTATCGGACTGCATAWAAAATGTCCGATATAAGCGCTCCGATATTAGCAGTCCGTTCCAGCAGTTCACTGACTCCGCTCCAGTGTTTCTATCCAGCAGCGCTTGGATCCTGCTTGTAG